CACACACACCCCCCCCCGCGCGCGCCACACATAAAACACACACACACACACACACACACACACACACACACACACACACACACACACACACATCTATCCATTCTCTGTGCAGCAGTTCCGCTCCTGTCAATAATCATTTGATTGTTTTCTTCAGGGTAAATTTGCCCGCTCAATATTATTTTAGCACACAACACCTACAGTTTAGCAAGGTCAAACTGCTGACGCGCCCTCACAGCATTTTTGGGCTTCTGTCTAGGACACAGTCGGACCGTGCCTGACATTTCTGTACAACAAATTATCAATAACTCAAGATTATGAAGTCTTGCATTTGTGCAGCTAAACGACAACAATCATCTCTTATTTATATTGCACGCAGTCTGGTTCGGTTTCCTTCACTAACTTCTGCTTTTTTTCTGCTGATGCTCACATGTGCGAATATGAATCTGCAACCACTGACAACATGATGGAAAGCAGGCCAAAACTTGTACTACTGTCATTGCGGAGCAACCGTTTAAAGCTAGTTACACTCTCAACATCTTTATGAGTCAAAGACGAGACATCCTATTCTGGTGTTCACATCATTAAATGCAAGTTAAGTGCCTGATTTAATGAAAATAAAATGTCAAACTATGGGTGAAATATGCTTCCATTGTAAGATACATTTACGTAAAAATGAAACAACATACTTATTCTGAAATGTATTTATTAAAATATATAAAAGAATCAACTGATCATACTAAATGTTATTATGTTTTAAATGATTAAAAACTTGTTGCTAGCAAATAGGTAAAACTAAGTTTTTTGTGGTTTGAAGGAGAGTGGTTCATTGGTAATAATATAAAATGACAATTAATTAGTATTTTATGGCTGCACTGTGATCACTAAAATTATTTTAATGCCATTTAATAATTTTTCTAAATACAGTATGCATGGCAATATACTTTAATGATATACTGTATGAACTATTGTTACACTGAATGACACTTTAGTGGGTGTATTCTGTAAATCATGGTAAAAATGTATAGTCATAATTTTTTGCTCTGAAAAAAATAAATCAATTTGGTTGTGAAATCTGTTTTAAACTTTGTTTTGATGACTGAAAACCTTATATATCTGGCTAAATAACAACACATAGGCTATGACATGAATATGCAACATGCACTTGTAATGTGTTGGTCTGTGTACTGGTGTTTGTGTGTATGTGTATGTGTACTGGTGTGTGTGTGTGTTAGGGCTGTCAAAATGGCTTTTAAATATAAATTTTACTTAAATATTATCAATATTCGAATTATATTCGAATTTAAAAGGCATAATTTCAGTTGGGGGAAGAAAAGCTTTTGGCTTCTCTCCTGAGGCCACAAGGGGGCGCATCGAGCTAAATATTATGCACGTTTCTTCAAAGCATAATAAAATAACACGTCTATCTTTGAAAAAAGTGCATAATGTTTAAAATAATGTTTATAAACCTTATATAATTAATAGTTGCTTAAACAATTAGAAACAAAACAGCACCATGCATGTATGTATAGTTTAATACAAAGGACCGAAAAGCAATCACAAAGAGTACTTTCTTCATTTAAAAACTTGAGTTGCAGTGGGATGGGGAAAACTGCCATAAAGTCTTAAGACATATTTTTTTAAAAGTTGAACTTACATTAATTTTACATAGATTACTAAAGCTATGCGAGTGCAAAGGTGATAGATGTCCCTCTAGAAAATGCGATAAATACGCGTTCTGTGTAAACGGCTTGGTTTCGGTTTTGACGTAAACAACATCTTCCCCCGCATTGATTGTTCTCGTTTTCTGCAATATTTTAAATGAACAACGTAGCAGCGCCGCATCTAGTGGGTTCAACTGGATAGGCTAACAAAAGCATTAAAATGCAATGACACTTACATCATCGTCACATTTTGTGCGCCACTGATAATACTGCCTGACACACACCTAAAATTCGAATGCAACGTTTTTGCATTCGAATGTGGATTTTTATTTAAAATTCGACAAATATTCGAAATTCGAATTTTTTTTTGACAGCCCTAATGTGTGTGTGTCTGTGTACTGGTGTGTGTGTGTGTGTGTCTGCGTACTGGTGTGTGTGTCTGTGTCTGTGTGTGTGTGTGTCTGCGTACTGGTGTGTGTGTCTGCATACTGGTGTGTGTGTCTGCATACTGGTGTGTGTGTCTGCATACGTGTGTGTGTGTGTCTGCGTCACACATAAAACACACACACACACACACACACACACACACACACACACACACACACACACACACACATCTATCCATTCTCTGTGCAGCAGTTCCGCTCCTGTCAATAATCATTTGATTGTTTTCTTCAGGGTAAATTTGCCCGCTCAATATTATTTTAGCACACAACACCTACAGTTTAGCAAGGTCAAACTGCTGACGCGCCCTCACAGCATTTTTGGGCTTCTGTCTAGGACACAGTCGGACCGTGCCTGACATTTCTGTACAACAAATTATCAATAACTCAAGATTATGAAGTCTTGCATTTGTGCAGCTAAACGACAACAATCATCTCTTATTTATATTGCACGCAGTCTGGTTCGGTTTCCTTCACTAACTTCTGCTTTTTTTCTGCTGATGCTCACATGTGCGAATATGAATCTGCAACCACTGACAACATGATGGAAAGCAGGCCAAAACTTGTACTACTGTCATTGCGGAGCAACCGTTTAAAGCTAGTTACACTCTCAACATCTTTATGAGTCAAAGACGAGACATCCTATTCTGGTGTTCACATCATTAAATGCAAGTTAAGTGCCTGATTTAATGAAAATAAAATGTCAAACTATGGGTGAAATATGCTTCCATTGTAAGATACATTTACGTAAAAATGAAACAACATACTTATTCTGAAATGTATTTATTAAAATATATAAAAGAATCAACTGATCATACTAAATGTTATTATGTTTTAAATGATTAAAAACTTGTTGCTAGCAAATAGGTAAAACTAAGTTTTTTGTGGTTTGAAGGAGAGTGGTTCATTGGTAATAATATAAAATGACAATTAATTAGTATTTTATGGCTGCACTGTGATCACTAAAATTATTTTAATGCCATTTAATAATTTTTCTAAATACAGTATGCATGGCAATATACTTTAATGATATACTGTATGAACTATTGTTACACTGAATGACACTTTAGTGGGTGTATTCTGTAAATCATGGTAAAAATGTATAGTCATAATTTTTTGCTCTGAAAAAAATAAATCAATTTGGTTGTGAAATCTGTTTTAAACTTTGTTTTGATGACTGAAAACCTTATATATCTGGCTAAATAACAACACATAGGCTATGACATGAATATGCAACATGCACTTGTAATGTGTTGGTCTGTGTACTGGTGTTTGTGTGTATGTGTATGTGTACTGGTGTGTGTGTGTGTTAGGGCTGTCAAAATGGCTTTTAAATATAAATTTTACTTAAATATTATCAATATTCGAATTATATTCGAATTTAAAAGGCATAATTTCAGTTGGGGGAAGAAAAGCTTTTGGCTTCTCTCCTGAGGCCACAAGGGGGCGCATCGAGCTAAATATTATGCACGTTTCTTCAAAGCATAATAAAATAACACGTCTATCTTTGAAAAAAGTGCATAATGTTTAAAATAATGTTTATAAACCTTATATAATTAATAGTTGCTTAAACAATTAGAAACAAAACAGCACCATGCATGTATGTATAGTTTAATACAAAGGACCGAAAAGCAATCACAAAGAGTACTTTCTTCATTTAAAAACTTGAGTTGCAGTGGGATGGGGAAAACTGCCATAAAGTCTTAAGACATATTTTTTTAAAAGTTGAACTTACATTAATTTTACATAGATTACTAAAGCTATGCGAGTGCAAAGGTGATAGATGTCCCTCTAGAAAATGCGATAAATACGCGTTCTGTGTAAACGGCTTGGTTTCGGTTTTGACGTAAACAACATCTTCCCCCGCATTGATTGTTCTCGTTTTCTGCAATATTTTAAATGAACAACGTAGCAGCGCCGCATCTAGTGGGTTCAACTGGATAGGCTAACAAAAGCATTAAAATGCAATGACACTTACATCATCGTCACATTTTGTGCGCCACTGATAATACTGCCTGACACACACCTAAACGTTTTTGCATTCGAATGTGGATTTTTATTTAAAATTCGACAAATATTCGAAATTCGAATTTTTTTTTGACAGCCCTAATGTGTGTGTGTCTGTGTACTGGTGTGTGTGTCTGTGTACTGGTGTGTGTGTGTGTGTGTCTGCGTACTGGTGTGTGTGTCTGTGTCTGTGTGTGTGTGTCTGCGTACTGGTGTGTGTGTCTGCATACTGGTGTGTGTGTCTGCATACTGGTGTGTGTGTCTGTGTGTCTGTGTGTGTGTGTCTGCGTACTGGTGTGTGTGTCTGCATACTGGTGTGTGTGTCTGTGTCTGTGTGTGTGTGTGTCTGCATACTGGTGTGTGTGTCTGTGTCTGTGTGTGTGTGTGTCTGCATACTGGTGTGTGTGTCTGTGTCTGTGTGTGTGTGTGTCTGCATACTGGTGTGTGTGTCTGCATACTGGTGTGTGTGTCTGCGTACTGGTGTGTGTGTATGTGTGTGTGTGGTGTTTGTTTGTCTGTGTGTGTGTGTGTCTGTATGCTGGTGTGTGTGTC